ATCATCGTTTTCCACCTCCGTAATATCCTCTGCCATTGCTGCTGGTTCCACTACATATGTATTTACACGATTCAGCATATTTTTCATCTCCTGGCGCATTACATTTTTTTCGGCATGTGAAAGACAAAGCTTTCTAACTTTTTGGTCATACTTCTTTGGGTTCTGTATGTAAATAAGCATCCCTGTGACCTCGGTAAGACGCCGTTCTCTGATTCTTTTGTGGAGTGCCTCGGAAAGGTTGGCACTCAAGATTGTGTCCTGGCTTTTTAGTTTGTCTAAGACAAATTTCAGGGTTGTGTCAGCAGTTATAAAACTCGACTCTTCTGCAGAGAGTTTCTACGGCCAGTTTAAACTGCAATCGTTCCGTCACGTGATTCATTGACGTCACAACCAACCGTAAATTAGAATTATGCACCAGGACTAGGATAGGAGTTACTTATTTTATTTTGCGCGAAGACACTTTATTTAGCGAGAGCGGAAAGTCAACTGGCAATTAGATCAGCAGAGGTAAAAGGGCGGGCGGTGCGGTGTAGAGAGGGAGTGTAGCACGTGCCGCACTGAACGGCAATGTCACCCTCGCCGCCAAGCGATAGCGCACGTAGCAAAGTGGCAAGGCCGACACGTAGACTTTTGCGCCATTATTTAGAAAGTTAATTGAGTATTTGCGGATCCGCAGCGCTGGATCCAGCACCTTGTGCTGGATCCAGCAGGCCGAAAAATGCGCTGGTTCCAGCTGGATTGCTGGATGAGGAATCCAGCAATTGCAATCCCTAGTCAGGAAAGATAGAAATAACTTAACAACGCTGAGAACTGCAATATATGAAACGTTTCGCTTTTTTTGTGGTGTTGTAGTTATTAAAGGTGAATTTCTTAAACTAAGCACAATTTATTTTTTATATCTTTTTAAGAATATTTTAATTAGTGTATACTTCTCTATTAATAGAAGAGTTAATAAAATGGCGGTCAAATAGAAAACTCTAAATGAATAATTCTAGTTTTCTGTCTGTCCCCCTATTCCGGTTTGGAAGCCACATAAAAAACACTAAATATAACACTACTAATAAATAAGCATTAAAGAAAAGAAAGAAAATAAGGAAAATGAATGAGAACAATTAATATCAGCAGGAGCAAGACACTACTAATTTGAGGTGAAAGCATAAATTTTAAATTAAATAAATTAAAAATATTAAAAAAATTTCAGCTCAGCATTATAACGATGTCACAATAAATAATTACTCGTAACCTTTGAACTTCAATCAGATGTTTTGATAGAATCGGATATGCGTAGAAGGTCGATATTTAAACAGACCTATAAAATTTAAATTAATAATTAAAAGCCCAGTATTGTGATATGTAAATTTATAATTCTTATGCTTAATTTAAAATATAATTTAGTATAATTGTGTATTAATTACAAATTAAACAATTATATACTATTTACACGTCATAACCTTGAGAAAGTTTGTATGTGATTTATCAAAACAGTAACCTCTGATACATTCTAATGATTGTTATTTTACGCAAATCCTCCTTCACAACTGATAATGTATTGGTATTAAATTCAAATAATAAATTAATTTTTAATACGAATAGAGGCCCTGTACTAAACACATCCCTGTGTACTAAATAATACTTTATATAATTATGCTAATTCAGGTTTAGAAACATTATTTTTCAGAGTACAAAAATTATTTTATGTTGTATTAAAACTACTGTTGATCACTTAATTCTACACTTCGACAGAACCGCGACTTCATGACGTCATAAATGAGCACCGAGTCTTTGTAATACGTATCATCTTATATTAATTTACATAATTAAAATTTAACATTTTAAAAATAATTTGTCTTTTTTTTCCGTAAACACTAACGGGCCTTCTTTCCATATTTATCGTGAGTCAAGCTCACAATGGGGAAGGACGATTGATGAAGGATTAGGCCCGATATGTGAAGGGTAGATTGATCATGAAAAATTTCTGGGGATCTTTCTCTTTCCAAATTTGATCCGGGTCCTCCAGCCTTAACGTCTTCTTGATATGTGCTGGGAATTACCATGGTAATTTCCATTGTAATATTATTCTTGATATTTTGAATTCCATCATACTTTGAGATACTTGCTCTAAGTGTATCTTGATGACAGTCATAACACTTCAACCTTCTTTCCTTTATTATTTGTGTTAAATTTCACTTATCTGTTAATGTCATTTCTAACCATACCAAATATTTTTGTAACTCTTAATCCACAGTTTCATTAATTCTCTTCTTTGTTTCTTCTTCCTTCCAGGGTCTAACTCTTTACACCATGAGATCTGCATAGTCATAAGTGAGTCGTTTTATATTTTGGCATCAATTCAATTTTACTTAATTAATTCTAATGTTATTTTCAGATATAGAAAATGAAGAATTATGTAAGAAGAGCGCTTTTGTTTACCTTTTCTCGTATTGGATATAATATAGGACGATATCCGCTGATTTATGTTGTAATTCCCATTTTACTGGCTTTCATCTTTACAAGTGGAATTTTAAATGTTTCTCTAACAAAGGAGATGGAATATCTTTATATACCTCAGAATGCCAGAAGCAGAACCATAAGAAATGCTATAGAGTCATTATTTCCTACGAACAATACAAGAGTAAGCACTGGAAGACTTTCGAGGATCAATAACTTCGAAATTGTTACATTAGTGCATCAAAATGAAAGCTTTATGCTAGATGAATTTATCTTAGACGATTTAATTAAATTTGATAATATTGTGAACAACATAAGCATCGTTTGGAATAATGATTTTATTTATTATAAAGACTTATGCAAGAAGACAAATGAAGAGAATTGCTTTGGTAACATTCCTATAATTCAGGCATTTAAAAATAAATTGAAGAGTGATACGTGTATTGTCAAGTAAGTCGAGTAAATCCTTAATACTATACAATACTAATAATCAGTAAAATTTTCATTAAATTCGAACTCACTCTACATACGGCACGTGAACCCCTCTATCTCCCCATTCCCTGGACTTTTTATCACCATAATTTAACAGCATCAATTTCCATTACATACAAACCTTCTTGCAAAATTTCAGAGATTTTCGACAAATGACATAGGAGTTACTAAGCTTGAAAGAGGGTAAACAAAATTTTGACCCCCCACACATTAACATCCTTACATACAGGGAAAAAAAACTAATTTCGTTACATTTTTGGATGTTTTAAGGTTCCCTGAGTTCACTCTGTAAAAATCTTGGAGTCAATTTATTTAGTTATATATAGGAAATTCACAATGGATTACAATGGACTTAATAAAAGAAATATAATCCATTGCAATTAAAAAAACTGTATAGTTGAAAGAAAGATTAGGAAAACAAGGAAACTTTAAACAGTACAAATGAATATAATTATTATCCAAAATTTCTGATTAAATAATTTTTAATTTTACAGATATCCAATTGATAAATCCTATCAAGATCCACTTTTACCACCATCCATCATTGGAGGAGAAGTTCTCAACGATGAAGGCTGTGTCAGAAACTTCAAAGCAATCAGATTTCTTTATATTTTGGACGACAGTACATTGGAAAGAAAAGAAGCAGCAAAAGTTTGGGAAAAGGAGTTTTTAAAAGTGTTAAAAAGTATAAATTTTAAAAACATTAAATTCTATGCTTACAACTTACATAATTTAGAAGAAGATCTGGCGAATATTGTTCAAAGTGGAACAAATTTAGTATTCATCATTACACCAATTCTTCTATTATTTGCATCACTTTCATCTATGTCTCCTGATATTATAAAAAGCAAACCCTGGTTGGGTATTGCTAGCTGTGCGTCACCATTTTTATCAACAGCTGCTGCATTTGGATTGCTAATATACTGCAAAATGGAATTTGTAGACATGAATATACTCGTTGTTTTCCTATTGATAGGTATATTCATACAAAAGTTACCTTTAAAATAAGTGGTGTCTTATGTAACTAATGATTTTATATTGTTTTAGGTATAGGTTTGGATGATTCTTTCGTTATGATTGCTGCCTGGAGGAAAACTGATAGCAGTCACTCTATACCTAAGAGAATGAGTAAAGCTTATGAAGAATCTGCTATGTCAATTACCCTTACTTCATTAACTAATTTTATAGCCTTCTGCATGGCATATTCAATACCTTATAGATATATTAAAATAATAAGTGTATATAGTGCATTATCAATAGTATTTGATTACATTTACCAGTTAACTTTTTTTGGAGGTCTCATGGCTTTAGAAGGCTACAGAGAAAAATTCAATATTCACAGTGTAATGTGTTGGCCAGTCAAGTCCTTGGGTAAGTCTCTTTAGTTGTGTGTAAAACTACAGGGTGGCTCCTGTGTATGTCCCATAGAAAAAATTAAATTATTCAAAATTTACAAATGAATTACAGTTAATTAAATAGTAAATTGACTAAGAAATTTTTAAAATGTTTGTCTTTATGGTCCCCGCAAGGGAGCTGCTCCTGTCTTACCTTTTCTATCTATCTAAATTTCCCCTTCGCCCTAATTTCTCACAAACTTTTCTTCTCATTTCCGTTTCTTTTCATGGGCTATACCTTCGAGTGAGGCCCATCTCTCCTAGCAGACTGTCTTCAGACGTATTGAAATTTTGTAGGCGATCGTAAAATTAATCAATAGTATGGTGTACGAACACTACTGATTTTCCTTTCATTGCTTCGCAGTGTGGTTTGGTTTATTTTATTACGACAACGTAAAAAGTGGGGGATCTGTTACAGTAGGACGTTTTCCGAGAAGACTTTTTATGGGAAACTGGTGTTACAAACGTGAAGAAAGCTCGGAAAACTCAACGTGGCTAGACCGTTCACCAGGCGCGAATCCACGACCAATTACAAATGATCACTACTTTTATCCACTCGGCCACTAGTGGGTGCCGTGCTTCTGAGGAATCTGCAGGTTCTCCGTTGAAAGCACAAACTTTAATTAGTTTCATATTTACAGTCTATTAGTTTAAGTCGGGGCTTCTACTAGGGCAATTCGATTCCGCCTCCAACCTATTCAGGTGTATCCAAAACTATCAATCTAAGACCAAATAGTAATTCGAAGTCATTAAAAGATTTTTTGAATGCCAACTACCCTTAGTCAAACTCTCAAACGTAATCATTTTTAAACACATTGCTCAAAAATTACAATGTTTTCCAGTGGCCCCAAACCAATCTTTTACAAGAAAACATTTTTCCCAAATATTTCCCCAAAGCAACAATGTCTGAAATCAACATTGTACATGGAGCGCCCTATTTCAAATTTTCTTGTGCTCCCATGGAAGTGTAATGCGCAACTGCTATTTTCAGCCAAAACACAAGCGCCACCCCGTATTATATTTACAGATGCATATACTTATGCTTATTTTAACAAGCTTATTGCAATTTTCCAGATGACAAGACAGAGCAGAAAGTAGATAAGAGTGAAGAAAATGTGATAATGAAGTTTCTTACAAATACTTTAGGTCCTGCTCTCGGAAAAAAGTCAACGAAAATAATCGTCACAATTGTTTTCACGGCTTACATAATTGGAGGTGTTTACTGTGTGCAATTTCTGAAAGTAGGAGGAGATATTTCAAAAGTATTTCAACCGACATCACATTCGTTTAAAACTCTAAAATATTCTAATAAATATTTTTCAAGTTTTCCGTATCAGATAAATGTTATCATCAATCAGACTTTGGATTATTCGAATCGAAGTGTTCAGAAGGAAATTGAAACAATACTGAACGATTTCGAAACTGCTCCTCATATGGCTGGTTCGAATTTCACAGAGAGCTGGTTAAAAGAGTATCTGTCCTTTATAAACAGTCCCGTTTCAAAGTTTTCTTTAGCAGGTCTGAATATGAGCAACTCGGATGACTTTTTATATGGTTTAAAGAACGTTTACTTGAACATAAAACCAGCAAGAAGATTTAAACATGATGTATTGTTTAGCAGTGATGGTACCCAAATTGTTGCATCTAGATTTCTCTTAGCAGCTCATAATATAAAAAACGATATGGATAAAACCGTTATTTTGCAAAGTATGTTTAAGGTTGCAGACAATGCCAAGTATCCGGTTTACGTGTATAATTTTTGGTTTATGTTGTATGAGTCATACTTCAATGTAACTTTGATATGTCTACAAACACTGTGCTTCACAGTTTTAATAATGATGCTGGTATTTATGACATTTATTCCTGATGTAAAACTCGTCATAGCATCTGTTTTAACAATTGCTTCAATTCAGTTAGGTATTATTGGTTATATGTCTATAATTAAAGTGAATTTAGATGGTACTTCGATGCTGCTTTTAATCATAAGTACAGGATTTTCTGTAGATTATATGGCACATATATCGTATGCTTATATCAGCTGTACAGAAAAGGATCCAAACAAAAAAATTATAAATGCGTTTCAATTAACAGGGTATCCAATATTACAAGGTGCCCTGACGACATTAATCTGTGTATTTGTTCTATATTTTGGACCGTCGTATCAATACGTGGTAACTTTTAAACTGTTTTCTTTAATGATTATATTTGCTCTTTTTCACAGTTTATTATTAGTACCTGTTGTACTTAGTTGTTTAGATTTATTGGCTATTAAACTGCGCAAAAAAAGGAAAGAAAATGGTGTTTTTGCACTTCAAAGTGCACTGAGTTAAAAATTTACGTTTGTATTCGTATGTTTTAATATAAACGTAAGCACCACTGAATTATACAGTACGGTAGTAAAGTCGCTCCGTAGTGGGCATGGAAACGGAAGGAGCTTCCAGAAAGGAAGTAATGACGTCACAGATAGGCCACACGCCAAAAAGATAACGTCCACAATATATTCTGTGCGATTTGAACACCAAATTATATATGTACTTAGCTAAGTTACATGAGATACTATAGTGTACTTGTATTGATTAAATAGCCAAGGACTGTACACATTAAAATATTTATTTAACTATTCTTGTGTCATAATATTGTTTTTTAAAAAACTTTTAATTTTAGATCCTGGCAACTCAATTATATGAAAAACTTTACGCTTACCAATATATAATTTTGTACACAAATATAACACTATGAGATCAATGTTGCCAAGTCCTTAACTAGCTTTTCCTTGTAAAAACTGCGTATCTTGCATCTTATATTCTTTAGACATTCTATAATCGTTATATAAAGTCAAAAACAAGCATTTTTAATTATTTGTTCCGTGTACAGACATTCTCTATCGCTCGAGCACACATGCACAATTTTTTTTTCTCATTTGTTTATAATTTAACGATAATGAACCTTGGTAGTGTTAAGATTATCCAATTATAAATTATTTACATTAAACCACTCGACCTGCAGCAAAAACAGTGGCAAAATAGATGGAACTTGATCCACAAATCTGATAATATAGCCTACAAAATGAAGTAGCTGTTACCAATCACGTAATAAAAGAAAAATCTCAATTTTTATTTTGTCAAGCAGAAGGACACTGATTACTTGTTTGTGTTACATATTTTTTAATGTTTTCACATTAATATTAATATATGCAACAAAAATTGAGCACTAAGAGCTGAGCCTTGCTGTGTACTTCAGAGAAAAGTAATATTACTAAAAGAAAAACCTTAACTTTAATACGAAAGGTACCGAAAAATATATTAAACCATGAAATTGCATCAAGATCAGACTCGGTACCCCAAATTTCGGAAAGAATGCCCGAGATTAATGAGTAAAAAAGCTTGTTTTATATATACATTAATGTTAACAATACTTCTGATATTGCAGAAACTTTTGTATTATTTGGCAAAGAAGCATCTTCATCGTCTACCAACAATTGAAATACATAATCATTACATAAAACAGAACATACGCTATATGAAAATGTGAATTTTTTCGAATTGTATTCAACTTGAACACTCTTATCTTCTACCGATGATAAAAGGTAAGAGTGTTCAGATGTTCTACTGGAGCTGCATTATTGCATTTATACAATAAATGCAATAATTCCATAAATTCCAGGGTCGGCAACATTTCAGCGGTGTTGCGCCGAACGTAAGTTATAGTGTTATTTTCCGCTGTAATAGAAATATACAAACAAGACATTCGTTTTTAATGTATCACGGCCTTCGATGAATTATGACTTCCATTTAAATGTGTAATTAATAATTAAAACATAATTTTTACTACATTTCTATTCAATCAGAGTGCCAATGAAAATCGTCTCGCGTGCCACGTTTGGAACGAGTGCCATAGGTTGCCTATTGATCTATTCCATTGCTGTTTTTTCCTCTTGGACTACATGCTACAAATAGTGTATCGTTACAAAGTTTACATTTTATGACATTATTAAGCAATGTTGTTTTCTTTCACAATGCTGCTTTCCTTGCTGCCATAGACACAAACATGCCACCATACAGGGGTAAAACCGAATTTTTTTTCATTTCCCGGCATTTTAGAGCTTCTTGAGTTCAAAACTGTAATATCTGAGGGATCATTTTTTGACTAATCGCCGTACTTTCTATCTGTTATATATATAATTGTCGAGAAAATAAAATTCAAAGCTTCAGTGACTCTCCTTTGGTATAATAATTCTCTAATAGTATCAATAGATGATGCAGTTAAACAGTTTTCATGTTTTACTACCTTATTTAAAACTTTTTAATTTGTAAAGGGATTAATTGGTACAGTTACCATATGATCTAGTTAGCAAGATCTTTGTTTTGGCATTAAATAACTTGCTAAAAAATAATCATTTAAAAAAAAAGATGTTTNCACACGTACACGTCTATCGTTGGAGAATCCTCGCACATCTGAGGGTCTGACCCTGCCTATCCTTCTTTTTAAGCGTTCGTCTTTGCTCTTCCCTTTCTTTTTCCTCTATCGCTCTAGTCCATGTATACCTATACATACATCATAATACGCGCTCACGATACTTTCGATTCGTCACTTTTCTGTCGTAGATTTCCCATTTTACAATTACGTGACTCGTAACCTGTTATGATTTCACAGATTCCAGACAGCTCGGTAGCCCGAACGACTCCAGGCTTTCGCCCGTGCATGCTATGTGACTTTCATTACAAGCATTTAGCTTTCCGAAGTCTATGACAACAATTGTTTGGCATTGACAGCCGCGAATTTCGCGCCAATAAGCTGCCTCGACTTGTTCGATTATGTTATCAACTCAATTTCATATTTATATTCACATTTTCACTTCGCGGTCCTTCTCTGTTCTTTTTCCGTTATTTACACGTGTAGGTCATTTCGTTGTTATCCACATTTGATATCATCATTTATCGCATACTGCCATGACGCTCTTGTCTGTCCGCTACAACTGCCAAGAATTAACGCGATTGGCGTAGTTTAGTGACAGCGGGCCAATAGAGAGCAGGGTCCTTGCCATAATGCGGTTTGCGCGCCAATTTTCGTACGTGCCTTAATCGAGCCGAATAGTTTGGCCGAATATTCGGCTATTCGGCCAGGTATTCGGTATTCGGCCGAATAGTATATTCGTTGCAACACTAATTTCTACGTTGATTGTTCTGTAATTAATTTTGCATCGATTAGAGCTGATTTGTTTAGTATTAGATGCAGTACGAACTTAGAGATGTACAGAAAGAAAGAAAACTGACTTGGAGGTTATTTGAGCCGTTTTCTAATCTTGGAATACGGCTCAAATATGGAGCGATCATCCGAAGACGATGTTTTCTAACAGTGAAATGATGGCTACGTTCGTCAGCCCAGTTGAGGATGATTCTTACTTGGATCAGCCATTTGAAATGAATGGATTGCCGTGTACTACGAGAAGACTTAGATCATCGAAACCCCCATTGAAAATGGGATAATAAATCTAGTGTCATAAGAAGGCATGAACCATTCGTTTTGCAAATAAAGACTGTGAGTATTACTACTTAATCTTGCGAGTCTTAATACAAATATACTCTTAGACAAACAAAGAAGTGTGAAAATGCGGAGTGACGTTTTATACAGTAAAAATAAAAGAATAAGAATATAAAATAAATAATATTCTTTTTATCATGTTGCAACATGAAAAAAGTGTTTGTTATAATACTGTATCAATAATGCTTATGTTAAATGCCAACATGCAGTTTACTTCAAAAAGAAAGAGATAAGGTGAGGAGAAGATATGAAGACACTGCAGCAGAAATAGGTAATACAACTCTTAAACATAATAAAGAACTAAGCAGAGAAAAACCTAACACTGCAATTCAGAGGCGGTTTAGGGAAGGGTGACCACGTCCAAGACGTTTGTTGTAATTTCTCTAATGGGTATCAATTACTAATTGGTTATTACTTTGCTTAATTGATAGCCGTATACACCCTTTTCCTATAAAGTCACTAATTCAGGCATTAATCAAGCTACCTCAATGTGACTGATTATAATATTCTTACAAATGATATCAAAGTCCGTTAACCTTGAAAAACTTTATTTGTGAATTATCAGATAAGTTCTAACAGTTATATTCTAAATATAAACTGAATAAATAACATCAAGGACATTATCGAGACGGTTTATATTTTCTTCTTTATCATTAAATAAACTAGAAAATTAGAAAATAATCTTGTAAATTCAAATATTTTCTATTGATTTCTAACAAAGTTTCTTCAGAATAATAAAGATTTAAGCTGCACGAAAAAGGAAAATATTGATAACTTTATGCTTTATTACTGCAAGTTAAATTAAATTAAAGCTAACAGAGGAGAATTGTATATACAGTCGACCCCGCTATAACACTGTTGATTATTTCGTTTTATATGAATTCCATGTTGTACGAGTCACTTAGATTTTACAAATACATGAGCCGTTCACAGCCCGGCACACGTATTTGTAAAATCTAAGTGACTCGTACAACATAGAATTCATATAAAACGGAATAATCAACAGTGTTATAGGGGGGTCGACTGTAATCTATTAAATAGCGCGTTTGAATATAAAGTATTTTTATGTTAGTTTATATTAAATAGTACTTTGATCTGTTGAAAACTGATTAATTGAAATTACACCATTTATAAATTATTCTTGAACTTTATTGCTCTCCGATTATAGTTTATCAAATTGAATAAATTTACGTATTTAAATGTAAATCTTCAGATTCTTTGCAGTTGTTTGGTGAGTAGCATTGTATATTGATCGCAATGAAGTGTAATTATAGATAAATAAGTAGTAAATATAACGTTAATCTACGTAGTATAAATAAAATAAAATTAACTGTCTGTTTGTCTGTTCGAGCATTAAGTTAAAATTGCAGAACCGTTTTCTATGAAACTTAGTACATATATTCAGGATAGTCGTAGGAAGAATATAAGATGCTTTCGAATTGACGTCTGTTTGTTTGTCTGTTCGAATATGACGTGAAAGTGGCTGAATCCTTCGGAGTTTATAGGATATATCTAGAGTAAATTTCGATGTATTATATATTTTTATATGCGTATATTTTTGTAGGAGTGTATTATTTTTAATTAATGTATTTTTAATGCAGCTAGTACTGTAATACATGTAAACACTACAGATTTTCTCCGATTACAAAAATCATGCGACAACGTTTATTGTTTCTCAATCGTTTATCAACTTTCTCATTCTAATGACACTATTATAGATATTAAATAGTTCTTGTTTATATATCTTAATTCAACTCATTACGAAGCATTNTAATACATGTAAACACTACAGATTTTCTCCGATTACAAAAATCATGCGACAACGTTTATTGTTTCTCAATCGTTTATCAACTTTCTCATTCTAATGACACTATTATAGATATTAAATAGTTCTTGTTTATATATCTTAATTCAACTCATTACGAAGCATTTTTTCTTAATAAAGTATTATAAAAAATATATTTTAAGATAATAAACTTAATCAAATTTACACAAAATAAAATTTGGTAAAGTATATTATAATTTCTGTAGTGACGTAGAGGAAGTAGGTATACGAAACAGTCGCTCGTTGTGACGTCAGGAATAGGGATTGCAATCCAGCAGTGTTTTTAATCCAGCTGGATTTTTGCTGGACCAACATCAATCCAGCTGGATCCAGCGTGGATCCAGCTGGAATGATGCGTGGATGTTTTTTGGTGCAATAAAGTGTTGTCTATCTATCTATCCAAAATTTATGAGTTTTTTTTTAAAGAAATAAAATTTTTTCACATTAAATGAGCAGT